AATATTGAACCGTGAGACTAAAGTATCGAAGCGAACCGAATTGTGAGTTTTCTGTATCGTTGCAGCCCTATATATATATGTATATATGTGTTTAATGTATGGGAGCACGATTATTATTCTTTTGTTGCATCCTCCGTAGAAGGCGATGTATGACCTATTATGGTCAATGGTTTTCTAATGTGGGCTCAACTCCTACATTGGTTTTTACGGCACCTGTCTTCCCAGGCGGTCTCCCACCCAAGTACTAACCAAGCCCGACCCTGCTTAGCTTCTGAGATCAGACGAGCTCTGGCATATTCAGAGTGGTATTCTTTTTAATGTAATTAAAGAACAGAATGGGGCCGAAATGTTTTGTGACTGTTCTAAGAATATTGTGAACATTTTTAAGTTTATTCATTTAGATGTTGTGTTTGCCTCACCAGGTGAAGATTGCCTATATCAACTTCCTGAATCACTGTTACGTGGACACAGAGGTGGAGATGAAGGAGATCTATACATCCAACCACATGTGGAAGCTGTTCGAGAACTTCCTGGTGGACATTTGTAGGGTAAGCCAAGAGAAGTTTATCACACGCTGCTGAAAACAATAGATTTTTAATTGTCTGTGTTTGTCTGTACTGTCAGCAAAAGATCTCATTAAACAACAATTTGAATGAATATCTTGAAAAGTATTTATTGCATCTGCATCTACAATTGATTGACTTTTGGAGTCAGTCCCACTCAAGATGGCCACCACAACGGAGCAACCAACACAGAAATGGCTACATGTCAGTGAATTTTACAAATATTATGCTAAAATCGATGTGTACATTGGTGAGAGTCACAGCAGATAATCTGCGAGTCACATCTCTTTTTATTAGTGCTGGGCACGTTAACGCGTTATCACGTTAACGCAGCCGACGCTTAACAGTGATGATTATTTTAATGCGCGTTAACAGTTATTTATTCATATTTCTCTGTCAGATCTCTGTTCACTGGGCAGCTAACACACACACAGACACACACAAACTAAGTGGTCACGGCGGGGAGGCGGGATCTTGATCACTACTGGTTTAGATGGCCGTCGTCCCGCGTCTCATCCAATGAGAGCCTTTGTTGTAGAGCCCGACCGAGCTGCAGCCGGGGCAGAAACATGGTGGAAGTCACCTCAGGGCATTTTTTTATTTTAAAACTTTTCCTGACGGTGGTCTGGAAAGAAGTAAATTTCTCTGTGAGCTCTGCAACTCTAAACCATCTCACCACTGGAGCAGCTCCAGCCTGAAACCTCACTTCAGTTTAAAACCAGCGTAAACAGAGGGGGTTTCTGCAGACCAGGTTGAGAGGCGTGTTTGGGGGGAGGGGGGGGAATAAAAAGCAAGACCAGTGATGTGCGAAATTCAGTTCCCCTGTGAAAATCTGTTCTCCCTACTGGTTAACCTTAGAGAGAATCACTGGTCCAGGTATAACGTCAGACCAATCCTAAATGGTTAATATGAGGGAGGCGCTTCCAACACAGGGGGAACGTTGGTTACGTATTGTAACCCCAGATTCTATGAGTGTAAGCGCAGCCCTCTAAGGC